GCCAAACTGACTGGCAGGATTCGGGATTAGGACGATCAGAGATTTCAGGAAAGTTGGAGTAAATGTACTGTGTACTTAAAGGATAATTGTAAAAAATTTAAAAACACTGGCAGGATTGAAATAACTCCTACAATGTATAAGACAGATACAAGGTTAGAAATTAAAATACGCCACTGGAGAAAATAAGGGATACCTGCTGAAGGGAAGGAGGGAAGTCGCAAGCTCGGCAGAGCTAAAAGTATATATGTGATTTAATGTATTGTAAAATGACTGTGTAAAGAAAACAATAAAAATTGATTGGTAAAAAAAATAAAATAATGTTCTTTTTATATGGGATCAGATTATAATTATTTATGTTTCATGTTTATATATATGTTGGAAGCCGCCCAGAATGGCTAGAGGAACCCAGCCAGATGGGCAGGGTAGAAATAAAAAATTATTATTATTACTACAGTGGTACCTCGATTTAAGAACAGTCCTCTTCCAGGAAATTTTAAGTTTCTTATTGTTGTTGTTGTTGTTATTATTATTATTATGTTTGTAAACCGAGGTACCACTGTATCATCACCACCACCACCACCACTGCTACTTCTACCTGAAATTCGATAAGCCTTGCTCTTCTCTGGGATGAATTTTGTTTGGCCCAGTCATGGCATCCCCTCCACCTCCAATGTCAGTCGTCTCTTTGGTCAATCCAAGACTGACAGGAGCAAAAACAGAAAACCTGAAGCTACTTATCTTTCTGAAGCTGACATTGAATATGGCCTGGGCAGTTCAGACCAGTCCAATCGTGGTAGAAAAAGGAAAAATTTGAAGAAGATTGTTCAAAGAAAAAACTGTAATTTACTGTTTATTGTGGGGGTGTTAGGTTCCCAGGTGTCATAGGGGGCTCTGTGAAAATATATGAGGTTGGTCACATAGAGGTATTTTTTGTATTTCCAGGCTGATATGACAATCCCACAGGGAGCCTTACCAAGAGAGGCCACGATCCCACGATTCTCCTCCATGACGTCCTTATGCAGAGCTCTCTGGTCAGGATCCAGCAACTCCCACTCCTTGTCCGTGAAACGAACAGCGACATCTTCAAAGCACACTGGACCCTGAAAGAAAAAGGGAAATGTCCTCCTCTGAGACAGCAGAAATATGATCTGCTCCACAATGCTCTGTGGTTTCCTTCCTGTACATTGCGGTGTTGTTTCAATAGGATTGCTTTGCTGCACATTTTAATTATGGATGCTTATTTTATTCTGCGTTTTAATTATGGGTATTTGTCTTTGTGCAAACAGGTGGTACTCCACATGTGGTTTTCAAATCATTCTGCCTACCCAAGCTTTCCAGTTTGCCTGATGGAAGGATCCACTTTCTCCTCTCCTCATGAGCTGTTCTGGGGAGTTCCCTCCCAATGCCCTAGAGCCAAATTCAAGGGGTTCAGGGGAGCATGGAGAGGGGGAGGGATGGGGGGCAGGCCCCATTTTTCATCCGATGGGGCTGGTTAGGTGAATCCAGGCCACTATTTGTTCTCATTTGTCCGCTGCTTAGAAACCAATTTTTGCATTCAGTTATCAGTCTAGAAATAAAATAAGCCTCTTTTGGATGGCCATCTGTCTTGGATGATCTAGCAGAGATTCCTGCACTGCAGGGGGTCTCCTGGGTCTGAGAGACAAGCAGGGAGGGTGGCTTCTGGCAAAAGGAGAGGGAGCCACCGGTGGCTCCTCCTTCTCCTGACTCACCTCAGCCTCTCGACCTTCCTCTCCCACTCACCTCCTTCCTCTTCTGCCTCTGATTCTGCGCTGCATTCTGCCACAGAATCTCCCAGCTCACTAAACCCTGTTACTTCTTCAGCTTCTGACATCTCCTCTTCCCAGTCTTTTCCCTCTTCTTCCTCTGACCGCTCATCCTTCCTCCACCTCCAATCCTTGGGCTCTGAGCCATCTTCCCTTCCTGGTTCCCCAGCTGCATCTTCCCACCACTCCTCTGTGCCCAACCAGTCCATTACATTGCTCCATCCCTCGGTCTCTAGTCGCCACAAGGCAGCTTCCCCTGACCTGATCTGGTTCCACAGCCGCTGCTTCCCTTCTGCCCCCATGAAAAGGCGGATCAGGAGGTCTTGCCGGCATCCTTCTGCCACCTGCAAGAGAAAAAACGTAAACAGGACGTAAACAGAGTGCCTGCTTCTCTCAGAGGTGAAACAGGGCATCTCTAACTACAGATGGGCCTCACCCGCTGAGTGCATTTGGAGGTTTGTGCCCATTTCATATGTTTCTTTGTGCAGAAATACATCTCCCCTCCTCTGGACCCTTGTTCCCAAATGTCTCCCCCAAAACAAGATGAAAAAACCCTCAGATGAGTTGGGAAACCAACAGAATGAGACCAGTGGAGAAAAACCACCTTCCTCCTTACCCAGTGGCCTCTCTCTGGTGTCCAACGGAGGCCTCTCTGCCTCACAGGAATCCAGGTCCATTTCTGCAAAGAGATCCTTTCCCTGAGAAAGAAACAAGGATTCAAAACAGAGAATGGGGAGAAATACTAGAAAGAGAATGGCAAAGACTTCAAGGGTGCGAGATCTCATTCCATGGATGCTTTCCCAGAAAATGGGCCATCAGCAGACCATTATGGGATGTTCTCTGTCCTGTTTGGAGCCCCTTGGGAGTATCCAGAGGAAAGTCTCTCTCACCTGCTTTCTCTCTGCCTGCTTTCTCTCCTCTGCCTGACTCAGGAGGAAACCTTCGGCCAGGGCCACCGCCTGCGAACTGGTCTCCGCTCCACAGTCCCTCACCCAGTTTTCCATCTCTGGTGGAAGGACAGCCAGGAACTGCTCCAAGATCACCAGGTCCAGCATCTCAGCTTTCGTGTGCCTTTCTGGCTTCAGCCACTGATGGTCAAGGTGGTGGAGTCGGCTGCAAACCTCCCGCGGTCCTTTGGCCTCCTGGCAGCAGAACTGCCTCACCTGCTGGCTCTGCACCTCTGAGCGGAGGGTGTCCACCTCACCATGGATCTTCTGCACAGAGTTTTCCCAGAATCCCCCACTGCTCCCAGTTTGGTTGGCATGACCTCTTCCTGTTCCAGGGCCAGCTGAGTCTTGCTCATCCATCTGTGCTCTCAGGAAGCCTCTGAGAGATCAGAAGGAACCCTTTGGTCTTCTGCCAAGTTCTGTCCGTCTAAATGAGAAGCTCTAGCAAATCCTACAAAGCAAATACATTGTTCTGTTACAGAATTTGTAGGACAGGGGGGGAAATGGTTCCCTGAGCAAGCATGGATGAGTCTTGCTGGGAACCAGGGCTGAAGTGCGCCGCATCCCAGACCATGAGATATCTTTTGAAAAGAAAGAGGAGGAGGAAGAGGAGAAGAAATAAGTCTCTAGCCTTCAAGCAATGCAGAATGTGGAGGCAACGGAAGGGATTTCTGTCAGATTAATCATCCTGGTTTCTGCTGCCTTCCAGTCAATGCATGAAGTCAGAACCGAATGACAAGGGAGTCATTTGTATCTTGTGATAAATGGATGCTTTTCTCTAGTGGGGGTCCTGACCTGGGGGTCCTCGGGAGTTGCTCCCCCCACCCCCACCCCCACCCCACCTCCACTCCCTGCTTCTGTCTCCTTTTCTGCAATCTCTACCGCTGTCCAGACAGATTCGTGGGGTGAGGTCTCCTTTTCTTTGCCCTGAGGGCCAGGAATGTATCTGGCCAACCCCTGAGGGCCAAGTGGGCGGGGCCAAAGACATCTCCCTTGATTTTTTGATTTTTTGTTGTTCTATTGGATAGCTTAACACAAACTGGTTTGCAATGCAGCAGCCAGACTATGGGCTGGGATCCCTCTCTTTATTCCTGGCCTCTCTTTCCTACTTTCCTTCCTTCCTCCCCGTTGTTTTTTTTTGGGAGGGGGGGCTAGTGTCCACCTCCTCCTCCAGCTTTGGAAAACCATTTGCAGATGTTTCCTCTGTTGTGCAATGACGCTGAGCGATGTCACACAGAGTTAAAGTCCCAGGGACTCCTTTGTTTAAAGAAGGGAGATTTCGTGGGAGTCAGGGATCCTCTGATCTGCAGGAAGGAGAGCGTGGCAGACCTGGCCCCTCCCTGGCAGGACCCTCTCCTCCCTGACTTGGGGTCCCCCCCCCACATGAGCAGATCCGGCCCCCCAGGCACCCTCCCCTGCTGCAGCCCTGAGACCCCCCCCCGTCTCCCCACTGCACCCTCTGGGGGGAGAGAGAGGAGACTCACCCTTAGCTGTCAACCTTCCCTTTTTTTGCGGGAAATTCCCTTATTGCAGCGCCGTTTCCCGCTGCCTCCTGCTGCTATCCCGGATTGGTAGATAGGTGAGGCTGCTGATCCCTTATTTTCAAGGCTGCTGATCCCTTATTTTCAAATCTGAAAGTTGACAGCTATGGACTCACCAGATCCCAGGAGGGACAGCGATTCGGCCCTTGCAGGAGAGACCCCAAAGCAGGAAAGGACTGGGGAGGGAGGGGGATTGGCTCTGGAGGACCTGGCCCCCCCCTTGCTTCCTGTCCTCTCTAGGAAGGCAGCTCACTTCCCTTTAACCCTTGCCAAGCCGAGTCCCTCCAGCTCAGCCCTCTCTCCCTTGGCAGATCCTCAGATTCTTATTATTTTTAATGGATTAAGGGGGGGGCAGCTGCCCCCCTGGCTCCGCCAATGCCCAGATATCATTTGGGGGTGAGGCTCTTGGCTGGACTCTGAGCATCTCCCTCCCTTGGCCAGAAACCAGAGGAAGAGCTTGCAGGGAAAAGGGCTTTGCAGGAGGCAAGGAAGCTCCTCCTAGAATTCAGGAGTGGAGAGATAGGAGGGGATCCCAGGGTCATCTAGTCCAACCCCAGCAATGCAGGAATCTCACC